TCAAAAAGTGCTGGAGGGTAACTACACATTTCAAACTGGAACAGTTCTTTTGGATTCTCATACCTTCCGCCAGTGAAAACGAGAACGAACCTTTGGGACAGGAGCTGGGAATCTATTTGAACAGTCATCCCTTTCACATTGATGGGGGTCTTGGCGGCAAGCGTTACAGCTTKTTCTTTCTTTTTGAAAGTGTGTTCATGTACAAGCTTACCCTTCATTGAAACAAGTATACTTTCTCCTACTTGTTTGGCTTTATCTGCGTTGACCGTTTCTTTTGCAAGTACACCAGTCGAAATACTTCGTAGCGAAAGAACTRCACTGAACGGATTTCTTGAGTGAAGATAGGCAACTATTTCCATTGCATCTTTAAAGTCGCGCTCTTGTCTAGCTACTGATGTGTCTATATGCTGCTCACTAGTGTAATAGTTTACACCTGTTAGACTCTTCATGGCGTTGTTGACTGCTGCACACATAGGCATGGACATCATACCCATATCAATCGCTGCACTTTTGTCATTTCACGCCCCCTGGTAAGACCGCCACTAAATTTTATACTTCTCATAAGTACTTGCTCAATGGTAAGGTCAGTAAAGAAACTAAAATGATCATTAAAATCCCACGGGATGACATAAGGCCCCGGACTAACAGTCCCGCCCAATGTCTATCCACTTCTGCGCACGACATGTAGACCATCCTGGAAACTCTTATACACTTCAGGGTTCTTATCTTCAAGGTCAGCCATCATTTGCAAGTAGATGTAAGCAAACTTGGCATACATATTTGGTCCCGAGGCAGCAAAATAGGGCAGCATTTCATGAACGGATTGGACCAGAAAGAGACGAGATTCTGTTGATACTGAATTTGGAATTTATACTTGAAACTATTTAAAACTGAAACTTATAAACACTTTATAAACAAATTGTGAACAATATTGAGATGATATATAGTAATTAAGTTTGTATATGGAAGATGGAAGATTGACCCATGCTAAATTTGCTCTATCTTTGAACATAGTTAATACCTCTATTATACTATGCTTTRAATGAAGATTTATTGACAAAAAAATTTTACAGCAAAATAAACTTGTCACTTTTTAACTACAGTTTTCGTTTATTATATGCATAATGAGAAATACTCACTGAAAATCTATTTTGTAAATTTTCGTTCATTCACTGGTCTCAGCCAATCAGAGAGACGAACGACGTTTCTTCACCGCGGTGAAAAAAAGTCGTTCGCCGATCTGATTGGACGAACGATATTTTTGCACTGCACCGTTGAATGGTTTTTATCACTGCACTCATAGACTTGGTAGCTTTGTCATTGAGCGAAGCAGTAATTCTTGTTCTTATTTTGCTAAAATAGGTCCTTTTTTACTTTAAAAAATAAGCAAATGCATAAAAATGGAAGAAAATAGATTTATTACTCCCAATGACACTGTAGAGTATTAAGTAGAAAGTCTACAAAACAAGAATACTAAGGGRAAAACCGAGCGAGATTTGAGGCTACTGAAAAGCTATCTAACATCACAAAATGAGGAAAGAGAAGTTCACGAAATAGAGCCACAAGAGCTAGATAGATATCTAGCAGAGTTTATTCGYTCGGTTAGACGAAAAGATGGAGAGGWCTATGAATGGGATATTATCAAATTTCTCAGTATGTATATAATATTTCAAAAATTTTAGAAATAACCTTGAGAAAGGGAATATAAAATATTTGAAAATATTGAAGTTCAGTTCTATGGAATGACATTATTTTATAGTTTATCTGCCTCTATTTTACATTCATGATAATCTTCATTTATGCTTAAGGCTGCCATCAGAAGCCACAGTTCTACTATCTATCGAAATGGCTCATATCCCATCAGAGGAGGGAGAATGTTCTGGCGT